TCTGTAAGCTGTACCTGGTTAAGTTTATTTATGAAGTACTGTCATAAAGTTCCCGGTATACAGTTAACAGCATCAGAAGAACATGAGATTAAAGGATATAGTGTTACACATATCAGAAAATAAAATCAAACCATAAGACATGCACCCATGCTTGGGAAAAAAAAAAAAAAAAAAAAAAAAAGAGCACTCACAAGAGGTAGGTTATTGATACCTAAATTTAACAGACGTAAAAAAAATATACGTTGTGCTGTACGTAAAACAACACAGTAAGGTAGAAAATATTACTTGTAAAACTGAAAGAGTAAAAATAGGAAGAGAAATACATTCTTCTAACTGTTATGGCATCTAGAAGAAAAAGCGATGTGACAATGTTGGAAAGAAATTACATGATGTGCAGGAGGTGGAGGAAGAGAATAAGACGAAATAGAGGAAAGTAGCTCTTAACGCTTTTCGGGAACACGGCACCGGGAGAGCACAGCGCCAACACCCGCTAAAGGTTCGCAGAGTCGGCACGGCCGGCCGAACTCCAGCACAAGGACGAAGCGGGCTGCAACCCACCGAGGAACCTGAGGCTGGACACACCGAGCCCAGATCGGCTCGACCGCGGGGACCGGCTCAAAACTTCATAGAGAGGTGTGGGGCCGGGGCCACCGCCCGCAAGAAAGAAGCAGAGAAAAGCAGATCGGGCAAACCGAGGAGCGGGGGGACTGCGGGCAGGGGCCCGGGGGAGGCTCCCGCGAGCGGTGTAAGGGGCGGAGGCGCAGGCGCGGCCCGCGCCCGCCTTGCCCGCCCCTGCTCCCAACCAGGTCGGACCACAGCATATAAAAGCCGCGGCGCGGGCGGCGCTCCAGCAGAGCAGCAGCGAAAGCAGCGGCGCAATCATGTCTGGTCGTGGTAAAGGCGGCAAGGGGCTCGGCAAGGGAGGCGCTAAGCGCCACCGCAAGGTGCTGCGCGACAACATCCAGGGCATCACCAAGCCGGCCATCCGCCGCCTGGCTCGGCGCGGCGGCGTCAAGCGCATCTCGGGGCTCATCTACGAGGAGACGCGCGGTGTGCTCAAGGTGTTCCTGGAGAACGTGATCCGCGACGCTGTCACCTACACGGAGCACGCCAAGAGGAAGACTGTCACGGCCATGGACGTGGTCTATGCCCTCAAGCGCCAGGGTCGCACTCTCTACGGCTTCGGCGGCTACACTTCTGCCTTCCTACCAGACTATCTAGACAAAGACCCAAAGGCTCTTTTCAGAGCCACCCACATTTTCTTTAAAAAGAGCTGTATTGCTTTATTTGCGGTTTACCGTTGTTTTTGTGTCTCCTATTTTTTTTTTTTATTTTTTTGTTCTGTTAGAACAGCACCTGTTTTCATTCTCCTTTCAGTAGATCGTGATACTGCTCCGTAGCGGCTTTCAGGCGAGGAAAATACCCAAAACCCATACAGATAAGAGACTAAGTTACCCTGCCCTCTAGCAACTCACGGAAATCGCGATAGCCAGAAACTCTTGACAAGGTGCCGCAGCGTTTAATTCCTTATTCCCTATTTCCCGCCCGTGTGTGAAAGGGAACTAGAGAAACAATTGCACGGCCGACAGTCAGTGTGTTTAACCCTTCCAGATGGCGCTGGCAAGCGCGGTAGCACGGGCCCCGGGCCAAGGAGGGTTCAGCGCCCGCTCAATTTCCAAAAGCCCGCGCAGACCACCATTGCCTCCGCCAATCACATTCCGCGTTCCCCTCCTCCCTCGCCCATGCCACCACAGCAGCTCCCGCCGCGCCGTGAACAGTGCTCCAACCGATCGCGGCCTATGACGAGAACGCAGCCCACCAGAACCGGCCCGCGATGCCCATAGCAAAGCCGCGCCGAACACGCGCGCCCCAAAATAAACACAGACTTAATTCCCCTCCCCGCTCCCCTGATCCGCAGGATTCTCAGGCTCTTTTTTTTTGAGGCTGTGGGTGGCTCTGAAAAGAGCCTTTGGGTTTTGCTTCTGGGCTCGGGACGCTTTCCCCGCCCGATTTACTTGCTCTTGGCTTTGTGGCTCTCAGTCTTCTTGGGCAGCAGCACGGCCTGGATATTGGGCAGCACGCCGCCCTGCGCGATCGTCACCTTGCCCAGCAGCTTGTTGAGCTCCTCGTCGTTGCGGATGGCGAGCTGCAGGTGGCGGGGGAT